GATGCACACCATTACATTACATTACATGCAATACACAATATGTCTCTAGATCTCAATAGCTGAAAGATCTATATACGTCAGTAGCACAACTACCACTAGTCCCTAGCCCTGAGCCTAGCCTAAATGTAGTATTATTATTATTATACAGGATTTATAGAGCGCCAACAGTTTGCGCAGTGCTTTACAATATATGGAAGACAATACAATTCAAGACTAGATGGTAAGGAGGGCCCTGCCCGTGAGGGCTTACAATCTATAAGGGAGGGGCAAGTGATATATGAGGAGGTAGCTGTGTGGGGATGGACTTTTTGAGAAAGTGATGGTTGAGTGGTTAGGTTGAGGTGGGATAGGCTTCCCTGAATGAGTCTTAAGGGATCTCCTAAAGGCAGTTCGAGTGGGAGATAGACAGACAGGTTGGGGGTAAAGAGTTCCAGAGGTTGGGAGAGACTCTAGAGAAGTCCTGGAGGCGAGCTTAGGAGTTGACGACTGAGGTGGAAAGCAGGAGGTCTTTGGAAGAGCGGAGGGGACGGTTAGGGTGATACCTTGAGACCAGGTTTGAGATATATCCGGGGGCAGAGTTGTGGATGGCTTATTAAGTTGTTGTTAATATTTTGAATTTTATCCTTTGGGCTATTGGAAGCCAGTGGAGGGATTGGCAGAGGGGGGTTTTATAGTTCTTCCCTTCTCCTACGGGCCAGTGGACTATAGTGGCACCCAACGGCAGCAATATTAGGTATTAGGCAATATTAGGTTTTGCCAAGTGCCTCTTCTGGGCGTCTCCTTAGCAAAGCAAAATCCTACGACCACCATTGACCACCTCCCACCATTGACCACCTCCCACCATTGACTGCAAATCAAATAACTGAACTGCATTTTCAGGTTTGCAGGAGTAGCAGTATTTTGGACAATAAGAGGTTCATTTTACAGGCTTTATATGTGTATTAAATATAAGAAATCAGCATCTGGAACATCCACCTCTAATCCCATATTCTCCTTTCAGTAAAGGTCCAGCAGGAGATCGATGACGTGTTGCAGTCACTGCGCCCACCTGGGATGAAAGACAGACCACAACTGCCGTACACCAATGCAGTGGTCCATGAAGTACAGAGAGTGCTAGATCTGGCGCCAACTGCACTCTTCCATGCTGTGACCAAAGACATCCAGTTCCGTGGGTACACCCTCCCGAAGGTTCGTGGCTGCAGTCAGGAGAAAAGGGGGGCAAGGGAAAGCAGGAAGATATTAAAGGCTGTAAAGAGAAGTCACACAGAGAGCAGCCAGTAATATACAAAATCGGATTTCATGTGGTGTGTTCATTCTGAGTTTGTCTCTCTCTTAATATTCATCTTAATGTAATACTGTGTAGAAAAAAAGGCAGCGAGAAACAATTCCCTATCTCTGTCCTGAGGCCTCACGTCATACGACATTCGCAGTAATATACAAAAAGCTTTGAATATTCAACTTGTTACATTGTTTGACATGATCTAATCAATGATCTTACCTACTGTATATGCTGAAATGTGTAAAAGTTACTCTGTCTCTTCTTTACTAGGGCACCATCATTACCCCGTTCCTGACGTCAGTGCTTTTTGACCCCACACAGTGGGAAACACCAGAACAATTCAACCCTGGGCACTTCCTGGATGAGGAGGGCCGTTTCCGAAATCGGGTGGCCTTCATGCCGTTCTCAGCTGGTGAGAAATTCACATTATTCTATCCATGCCAGGGGCTAAAAGACCGATTCCTTCAGCATAATAATTAAATGGAAAAACAATTCCTAAAATTCATAGGTAGAGAACAACCTCCCAGACCAAGTCTTCTGTTTCTCATCCAGAGATTGATGTAATGCTTCACTGGCAGCAAAAGAATTCCCCTGATGCCAGTAATGTGCTGCCCTGGGATCACTATTTCCCCTTTTGTTTGAATGCACAGTAGGATATTCCCGACTCCTCCCATACAGTCTTCTGTAACTCCTGAAGGTCCGGAGATAGCTCCATGACCTCAGCCCTTAGGTTATGCTAACATTCCAGCCTTGTTCCCCTCACCCTCCTCATGGTACCCCTCTCTGCCACTCTCTCTGCACTTCTATGACCCCTTAGCCTCTCCCCAGGACCCCTCTCTGCCCTTCTTCTAAGCCAGTCAGGAGACAAAGAGAGGAAATAAGCAGACACCTATTTTGGTGCCAGTCTGGTGGACTAACTTATATGTCCCATGCAGACCTCTGTCATATATGACACCCTTTTCCCTTGTCCCTGATGTCACTTCTTCTCAGATTGCTGTCAGAGGAAGTTTTGCACTACTCCCTTCGTTTCCAGCTCTGGCACATCACATAATCTAATGCAGAGAACCAATCAAAGTGCCGGCTCTCTGAAACTAAGTGACAGTAGGGACTTAGAGAATGGGTGAGCTGTTCTCATATCTGTGGGTCCTGGTCTGATAGGGGTGTGAATGGGGTGGCTCGGGGGACTTATATCACCGTGCCCCTGTCCCAGTCCATCCTTGCCCCATGACTGCGCCTGTACTCACAAGCTCCCTCCAGCTTATAGGAGGTATTTAAGTGTTATTTGGCCTTCCCTATGGATACCAATGGTGTTTATTATATGATTTGGGTGCACCAAATCTATTGATCACACTTTTGGACTATTACCAGTGATGAGCTGTGCAAGCTCTTGACTGTGGCGGGGCAAGCATGGACGGGCCTCTAGCGAGACAATGTTTTATTGTTATTGACCACACTGTCCTTCAATAATCTTCTTCTCTTTAAATGTGTTCACCTAAACACCACGTCCTTTCTGGATTCAGAAGAGCTTGATATTTTCCAATAATTGGCAATCTCCATATCTGCCAAATGTAAGAAATTATTACAGCCATGTAGCTGGTGTGCCTCATTCTGCCTCTTCCACAACTCTTCTGCATCTCTTCTGTAGGAAAACGTATTTGTGCCGGGGAGAATATGGCCCGAATGGAGCTCTTCATTCTCTTATCTGCTGTGCTCCAGAAATTCACCATCAAGCTGCCCCCGGGGGTCGAACGCCGGGACGCCAAATGGCTGAATGCTAATAAAGGTGAAATGATTGCATTTGCCGAGCTGTGCGCTGTACCTCGAGCAGTGCCCACCATGTAACCTGTCACAGCCAAATCTAAGGAGAGGAACTACCTGAAATATCTAAACCGGGGATGGTGGGGGTTTATCTGTAAAGTTCACCAATTATTAATGCAAATACACAGAGAAAGATTGAGCAGAGGTTCAGAGGGTGTATATAAAATAAAAAGTACAGTGTAAATGAATCTTTCTCAATAAAGGTTCCTCCGGTGGTCACTAGGGTTTCCATAAATAGTAATAAGTGGCAGATCGATCTCTTGCCTGGTGCCTACATAGTTCCAGCACTCGTGTCATATGGCAGAGCTAGTGACGGTGGAGCCTCTCCTCTTATCTCTCAGGTACGTAGTCACCGACACCAATGATCTTTTTAGCTGTCTGTAAAGCTCACCATACAGGTAACAATATGTCTGCACAATCTTTCTACAATCTCCTTTAGAGTCACCAAAACCTTAATATGAGAACCTAAACTACCCAATTAATCAGTTTTCAGTTAGGCCCGACCTGGGAAAACATAGTTGTTTGTAGATCTAAAGGAGAACGTACAGTGTGTGGCAAACTTAAAGGGCATTCTTTCTCTCTGACCGCCAGTGTAAAGACAGTTTGAACAAAAAATGCATGGAAGCGCACAACTGTAATATGGTCAAGTTTCTCACTTGCTAACTATATGGAAAATGGTGTGCAAAAACTCTTCAACAACCGGGAGAGGAGCCCCGTGTAACGTGTTTGGCAAAATTATACATAGAAGAGCGCAACAACCTAAGAAATTGTTTAGATGCTAAGCATCCTATAATGACTAGCTGTTTAAATAAATTAGTTGATATATAACTCACGGTTGTGATGTCATAGATGGACATGCACTCCCTGCAGTCCCGTGCAGTCAGCGAAGTGTTTCTGGATGGAAAAATCTGGACAGTCAAGATCTAAATAGTCTAAGATCTAAATAAACCCCAAGTCTCTCCAGGCTGCGTCCTCGGCTGGCCGGGCCGAGCCGCGGCTACTAGAGCAGGAGGGGGAGGACTGTCAGGCTGCTGTGATCGGCACTGGGCGGTGTGTAGCCGTATGGTGTGCGGCGTAAACGCTGGAGCGTGTTCGTCAGTGCTCGTGAGTCCGGGGTGATGTGTTCAAGTGAGATCAGTTGGCAATTGGCGGCCACGCATTTCGAGGGTGACCCTCTTTGTCAAGCCTTGAAGCGGTGTCAGCCGCGGGAGAATGAGTACTTTTGAAACTGACTGGGGGGAGGAGTCAGATCCGAAAGAATGCCGTGATAGGGTTAGACGTCGGGAAGTGAATCAACAGTCTCGAGGGCACTTCGGGGTTGATTGGTCAGAAACCTTTCTATCTCAGTTACCTGTGTACTCTTCTAGTTCTGCATTGACTATTATCACAGGTTATTGTTAATGAGTGTTAACAGTAGGACTAATACTAGAATGTGAAAGCTCTCTATTAGTCAGTATAGTACACATTCTAGTATTAGTCCTACTGTTAACACTCATTAACAATAACCTGTGATAATAGTGTGAGGGGGCCCTTCTCCACTGACCACACTCAGGCCACCACACTTCTCACAGGCCACCAGTATAAAAGGGCATTCTTTCCAATGACAAAGTGAACCCTTCTCTTTTGATCACAATTATAAAGGAAACGTATCTATTGTACACCAATAAAATAGAGCCCTTTACCATTGACCACCAATGTAAGGGAGCCCTTCACCATTGACCACCAATGTAAGGGAGCCCTTCACCATTGACCACCAATGTAAGTAATGTCCTTCTTTATTGATCAAAATATTTTTAAAACGTATTTGCTCATTTGTCAGGCTATAATAAGAAAAAAAACAGGGTTTTTGTTAAAACAGTTTATTACATCTAGAAAATTAAAAAAAAATATAAACACTCGTTTGCTGGGAAAATAAATAATATTATTGTTAAGACAGTTAAGATTAAAGTGACATTAAACCCTCAGATTTTTTAACATACACCAATACTGTAATGTGTGCCTTACTGTAATCCATGGTTGTTTCCCTTCTCTTTGCTGCTCTTCCTTTTAAATCCTCATCTCTTCTAATGGGGGGGGGGAGAACTTCCCTTTGCAGCTGAGTGCCTCTTCCTGTAGTGCTGGCTCAGGTTGTGAACCTTCACACAGACACCATGTATCCATTCCAGAGACAAGGCAGACTGCTGCCAAACAGAAGTTCTGCCCAGCATGAGAAGACATACAGATTTAAAAGGAAGAGCATCAAAGAGAAGGGAAACTACCAAGGATTACAGTAAGGCACACATTACAGTATTGGTTTATGTTAAAAAATCTGAGGGTTTAATGTCACTTTAAAAGGCTACAGATTTTTTTTGTTTGTTTGTTTTTTAAAAGGACAAGCAGGTGGATGGGCACGGTGAATGAAAAGGTGAAAGTAAAATGTTACACAATGTTAGCAGCAATATGAACTATTGTATCCCTGGCTGATAACATTAGATAAAGACTGGGCAGTCTGTGCAAAGGGCAGAACAAAGTCTTCTCTTTCCTCTATCGCCAAAGTATTGCTGTCAATATTTGTCTCTGTGTCTGGTTTCAAATTGAATTTTTTAATATGTGTCATTATAATAAATATTAAAGGAGGAGAAGGGACTGACCTCTAATGGAAGATATGATCACCTGGACTTACTAAGGTACTATAAGGAAGAATATACTCTTCTCCTGACCATCTCCTTACCTTTCTGATTACCCTCACCACCACACCCTACAACAGCGGCGCCCAAAATTTTTTGTCTGGAGATCTATTTTTTAAATGACGAGCTCAATGAGATCTACCAACGAAAAAACACCTGCACTCAGGGGAGGGGGCGTGGCAGTGCATTGAAGTCAATGGCACTGCAGCCACGCCCCCAGTGCAATCGCCCGTACCCGGAATGCAGGCACATCAGTGCCTGCGTTCCAGTCCAGTGCGATCTGCAAAAATGCAGCAGACCGGAACGCAGGCATTAATGTGTCTGCATTCGGGGTGCGGGCGATCACACTGAGGGTGGGGGGGGGGGGGCAGCGGTGCCATTGACTTCAATACACCGCCACGCCCCCTGAACACAGGGAGCCGGCCGGCTTGTGTTCCAATGCGTTCTAGAGGCCGACACTCTGGAACGCAGACTTTGTGGTGTGAACCGGCCCTCTCTTCTCTCTCTCCTTGCGCTCTCTCCTCTCTCTCTGCTGTCGCTTCTCTCACTTTCTCTGCTGTCTCTCTCCTGTCTGTCTTTTCTTACCTCCACTGCAACAGCTTCCCAAGTCTCCTTTCCTCTCTCCTTCCCGTCTGTGGCATCTGACACATTCAGCCGCACGAGCAACGCGGGAGGACAGGACACAGGTCAGTGAGCCGATCGTGATCTACCAGTTTTCGCTTTGCGATCTACTGGTAGATCGCAATCTACCTAATGGGCTCCCCTGCCCCACAACAAGGCCCTCCATGTGGAAGAATATACAATTCTCCTGACCATCTCCCTACCTTTCTAATTACAACCACCATCACACCCTACAACATGACTCTCCACGAGCTAGAATATACTCTGCTGTTGAACTTCTCTCGACATACCTGATTAAACCCATCAGTGGGATATCACACCTCCAACATGGCTTTCCATGAGAAAGAATATACCCTGCTCCTGACCTTCTCTCTACCTTTCTGAATGCACCCACCACCAGGATATCGCAATCTCCAACTTGACCCTCCATAACGTATAATTTTATTCCTTTTGTCTTTTGAAACTAATAATATTTTTTTTTTTTTGCATTTAAAAAAGCTGAACAATTGAAAAATGAAACCTTGAATTAATTTGTAACTAATTTTACATTGTTTTGTACCAGAAACGTTATGTATACGGAGCAATATGTACGTGCTGCATTAAAAAAATTACGAAAAATTTGAAAATTAAGCCTTTATGTGATTTGTAAATTACTTTGCAATGTTTTTTTTTAACCAGAAATGTAATTAATTAGTGTCTTTATTTGTGGAACACATTATAGAAATAAATTCATATTGTCTATCTACATCTAGTAATACTACATTTTTAACTAAGCCTGATGAAATTTTTTTTTTAAATATTATATATATTTGTCTATTGTTTGCATAGAAAATAAAATATTTTTTGCAAAACAGTATTGCCAAAAGAAAGCTTTTTTTTCCCCCCCCCCCCCCCCCCCCCCAAAAAAAAGTGTTTCTTAAAGTGATAACAGAACTATTATAATAAATACATATAAAAAGAACAAATAAACAGTCCAATAGACGAAGTGTAAAAATTGCTCTGGCCCATAGGGAGTATACATAGGTGAGGGCTGAAGTGGTCACATTGTACATATAGCCAAATCTTTTTGTTTTATTTGTGCTTGGAATTTAGATTGTAAGCCCTCAGGGGCAGGGTCCTCCTTACCATCGTGTCTTGAATTGTATTGTAACTGTAATGTCTTCCTTATATTGTGAAGCGCTGCACAAGCTGTTGGCGCTATATAAATGATAAATCCTGTATTATTATTATTATACAGGATTTATATAGCGCCAACAGTGTGCGCAGCGCTTCACAATATAAGGAAGACATTACAGTTACAATACAATTCAAGACACGATGGTAAGGAGGACCCTGCCCCTGAGGGCTTACAATCTAAGAGGGAGGGAGAAGTGATACATGAGGAGGGAGCTGTGTGGGGATGAATTGTTTGAGAACGTGATGGCTCAGTGGTTAGGTTGAGGTGGGATAGGCTTCCCCGAAGAGATGAGTCTTTAGGAAATGCCTTAAGGCAGTCAAGGTGGGGGATAGACGGACAGCTTGGGGTAAAGAGTTCCAGGGGATGGGGGAGACTGTATAATGATAATAAGGAATGGTTTTGACACTCTGCCAGTTTACTTTTTGCTGTCTGTGTTCCATTGGGTAGATTTACCTTCACTTCCTAATTGGGGATGCAACAGGAAATGAGAGGAAACTGCTACAAAATGAGGAAAATTACCTCTTTGACAGCACTCATTGATGCATGCATGTATATTGGAAAATTTCCGCGCACCTCCAGTTCTAGGGGCAACTGTAACATTTGTGATTTCCCATCACTTTCTGGCTCGGGGACAGTCGTCATCAAGCCAAGCAGAGATGGTGAATCTCTCCAGGAGGACACAGTGCTAAAAACCTGATAGGGTTTCTTAGCCTTCCCTTTAGGGTTGCCACCTTTTCTTCAGCAAAACCCGAACACGACGCAATTTTTTTGGGGGGGAGAATGAGTCACGGCCTATTCATATGTAAATAGAGCCAGCTATTAATATGTAAATATCACAGTGGAGACTATTTTCATTGGAGGGGGAGCCAGTAGCCCCTATCTTAATTTTGGTTGCTCCTGTCTACCTGACATCTTGTGTCCGGGTTTCAGCTGCCATGAAACCCGGACACAGCATTCAAAACCCGGACTGTCCGGGTGAATCCCGGACAGGTGGCGACCCTACTTCCTTACTGTATCCAAAACTACAAAAAATAAATGTTTTCCATATGCAAACACTTTGGAACCCCATTTTAGGAGGAAGCACCCCTTCACAACTTGGGGATCAATTGCCATACATTTTAATTGAGCAAATGTGCCCATGTTCAACAGGCTCAACAGCAAATCAGTTAGTTCGTCCCTAATAGAGTACTTGTGATGAGGTAAGACAAGTGGTCTTGGGCTCCTACCAGCTGATGAGAGGCTAAAACCGACACTTTACACTGTATATTAATATGCTTATTGAAGGTAGAGGACTAGGTTGGCTTCATCTGCTGCCATTTTGTAAGAAAAGCCAATAATATCTGACATTTCCCATATAAGAGTTGGCTTGGACAACAACATTGGATCATGTTGGTCGGAGGTGACTATTGCACAAGTAGTTGGAATATTTCCATGCAAGCTGGAGCAATTATCTATTGTGAAGGATGAAAGTCCTGCCCATGCTCTGCTGGCATTCCCAGATGGGAATCTCAATGAGTTCAGACTTTAAAGTGACTACTCTCTCCAAGAATTTTGTCCATCTTTGGTCTCCCCTAGTACTAGTTAGGACGGAGCATGTCCACACTTTGCTCACTTGTCCCCGCAGCTATGAAGGCAGCTTGACATCTGGAAGTTCTAGATGGACAATTAGATAAGGTGGATCCCGTTACACAATATGCGACCAGCTACAGGAATGTGCACACCGTGTTTACAAGTACCGAGGGCTTAATCATTAGCAGAATCGGTGGGTAGGATTTAAAAAAAAACTATTCACAAGAAAGAACTCAACTGAGGGCAGTCAGGACCGTTCACACCAAGCCAACGGTAACGGAGATACAGAGGAGGACTGACCGTTTGGGGATTCCAGGGGCCCCTAAACAGCAGGTAATGATAATGGGATTCTCTATTGGGAGGCAATCTTGCTGTATCTACTCCTCCTCCTTTATATAAGCCAGTCCATTGAGTTTATATTACTTGGTTTATGACTCTTAAATATGTGTATACCTCGAGTCATGTGCATGTCTTCCATACAATCTCTTCAAGGGGATTTGTAGTCTTTGTAATGCTTTATACATACATGTGAAAGAGATTAACTGTACATAATCTTATCATGGTATGAAAATGTCCTGTCATCCTTATTTATCTGTACAATGTATAATTATACATGGACATAGAAGGTAGACATGTTTACTCAGTTCATGAACAGGCTCTGCTGGATGCTTAGTAGGCTGCACAGTGATTGTGCCTTGCTGCTCCTATCATCTCTTTGTAGGTCAGGGGAGGACTGAACTGGAAGCAGGAGGGCATTTGCCCCCCTCCAGCCAATACAAATACAGTATATCATGTTGGACTGGTGGCCCAGAGGTGGCCCCATTCACACATCAGTCAAGAGAGTGATACATGCTGGGTAGTGATGAGCCGAACTTGCTTGGGTTCGGTTCGCTTGGACACTCTCCGAACCCAGCCAGAAATCCAGTTTCCGTGAGCGTCCATCAAAACCTTTGGCCTGGGGAGGAGGAGGGGCCAAACACAACCAGCTAGCCCTTTCATGGTGGGGGCAGATTTCTGAGGTCTACTTAAAGTCTACTCTACTACCATGGTGCGGCATGGATAAGCGGTCATGGTGAAAGTTGGGTTTTTCTGAGGGACATGGCTTTTTGTGACACAACATTTCACATCTATCGGGTTCCTTTGAAGCTCTCGCCATTTGGTCACATGACATCTCAGACCCGCACAATAAGTCAATGCTCGGAGACTATCCCTCTGCCAGACACCTGTCCTAATGGGGAGCAGATAGCTATATAACAGCCACCATGTGTCAATGGCTGTGGTACCCACTTATTTTCACACACAAAAAAAGTGCCCTGACGGTCCATTTCCCGAAGATATAGGGCCCTTTCCCTGACCCACCAGGGTGCTGCTCCTGGCAGAGGACTCATGTCCACCTAAGCCGAAGTCAGGCGGACCCATTCCACTGGGTCAGCTGAAGCCCACCAGACTAATTCCATTTATAAAATAGCAAGAGAGGAAATAGAAAGTCAACAGACAGGAAGCGCTGAGCCAACGGAACCTCCATGCTCCCGGCAGTTTCAGAGAGCATGGAGGTAAATAAAGCAAATCTAAAGCCAAAACTAAAAAAGGAAAGTTGTGGCTATACAAACAATTGCCTCTCATATCCCATCCTAGCTCCCGGAGCTCTCCTTTAATCACACATGAAGTCTAATCTTTGTCACTGTGAGAGAAGCGATAAGAGCCGCACAGCCGGCTTCCGGATCGATGAATTGATAAGATACAACGAGATTCTCTGTAGCTGATATTATAAAATAAGTTCAAGATATTCCGTTACGGTTAGCTGATATTTTGAGGAAAAGGATCCATTATCTCCTAGAAAAACAGTGCAATACTAATAACAGCCGGGAATTATTCATGTGCAAAATAAGACCCCCAAATCACCAAGTAGCAATGAATCTTTGGAATAATTGGAATTCCCCCTCATAAATCCTAACTCCAGCCGGGTGTTTTTATTTTTTGTTTTGCTGTCCTCGATGCCGGGTTTTACTTCTCACTTTGACCAATTTCATGTGAAAAATTGTTCTCAGAAAGTTCATTTGATTTTGATTCGATCTTATACTTATTGGGGTCAAAACAATCACCAATTTCAACTGTAGTGAAAAAAAACTAAAAGTTGAAGTTGTGGGATGGAATGTGTTTTTTGTTCGAGAAACTCCATTCCCAAAATCAAATGTTAAAACAAACACAATTTTGAAAGACATCCGTCAAGTCTCTGATGGCATATGTTCTGATGGGATTGTTCACACAAGAGATTGTCAGCAAGTGAGGGGAAATCTCTCCAAGAGGGGCACGGGCAGCAAGAGTACAGAAAGGAGCTGATTATCGCCATTGTGCAACATGGGAAGAGCCAAAAGGTTAATGTAATTCTGCATTATGGCCACTTGATGGAGCTGAGGAGCATAGGGAATAAGTATTTATATATTATGACCACTAGATGGAGCTGAAGAGCATAGGGAATAAGTATTTATATATTATGACCACTAGATGGAGCTGAAGAGCATAGGGAATAAGTATTTATATATTATGACCACTAGATGGAGCTGAAGAGCATAGGGGAATAAGTATTTCTATATTATGACCACTAGATGGAGCTGAAGAGCATAGGAAATAAGTATTTCTATATTATGACCACTAGATGGAGCTGAAGAGCCTAGGGGATAAGTATTTCTATATTATGACCACTAGATGGAGCTGAAGAGCATAGGGAATAAGTATTTATATATTATGACCACTAGATGGAGCTGAAGAGCATAGGGGATAAGTATTTATATATTATGACCACTAGATGGAGCTGAAGAGCATAGGGGATAAGTATTTACATATTATGACCACTAGATGGAGCTGAAGACCATTAGAAATAAGTATTTATTTCCTTAAAATGTTCGCTTTGCCTCTATTTACACAGAACGAATGTTCACAGAAATTTGACCGGGCCAATGGCTCTGCAAATTGTTCATAAAAAGACCCCTATGAATTTTAATGGAGTCACAGTCATGTCTAAGTTAGAAGAGGTGAACATGGCCAGGAGGAATATTGACTCATAAACGGTATCTGTCTGTCTCGGCAGGAAGATGGAATTCTCCGCACTCCTTGTTCTGTTGGTCACCTTCCTCATCACCCTCCACTTTGTCATGTCATGGTGGAAACAGACCAGGCGGTACAAGTCACTGCCCCCCGGACCCACCCCGCTGCCTTTCCTGGGCACCCCGAAGTATATGAATCTGCAAACTGCAGATAAAGATTACACCATGGTAAGTGACCTCTGGGATCTCACCAGCTTCAGAGTGGTTGTTCAAAATGTTTTCCCCGTACTCGATGACAATCAATCTCCATCTATAGGAACTCCTCAGAGGGCGCCCGTGGCCAGTACAGGCAATTATGGCCAGTAACTTTTTAGTCAGCAAACTTTTGCAGCACCGGATCACAGAACCCTGATGGCCCCTCTAACACACCACTGATAGTCCTCTACCATGTTACAAAAGTTGTTGGGAAGTGGGAGCACTTCCCTAATTATTATCTATTACAGGCATTTGTATAGCGCCGACAGTTTACGCAGCACTTTACATACTGCACATTCACATCAGTCCCTGGCCTCAAGGATCTCACAATCTAAGATCCCTATCTCTCTCCCTCCCTCTCTCTCTCTCTCTCTCTCTCTGTCTCTGTCTCTCTCTCTCTCTCCCTATATATATATATATACTCTAGGGCAGGGGCGCCCACAATTTTTCGTTCTAAAAAAAAGTGTCCCCCCCCCAACAGGCATGTGACATCACCCAGTGCCCCGCCTCCAGGATTTTTTAAAACTATTTTTTTTTTATTTGTTATTATTTGTTATTTAATTTTAACTTTTTTAATTTCATTATTTTTTTACTCTTGGGGGGGCTTTGGGGAAATATTAGGGGTCTAAACAGCCCCCGGACATTTCCCTTTTAAAATAGAAAAAGAAATTGAGGACACAGAGTCCTCAATCTCTTTTTCTGCAGCCTCTGTTGAATGAATGGAAAGCACAGAGGCTTCCCATTCATTCAGAAAATATTTACTATCATCCAGTTTCTGAATGGGGAGGAGCCTCTGTACTGAGTTCTTATCCCCATTGAGAAACTCATGATTGAACAGGAAGTGATGTAAATTACATCCTGTTCATTCATAACTTTTTACAAACACTGGAGTGATCTCTCTCTGCTCACCGCTCGGCGTGCTGCTGTGATAGCAGCTCCGTCCTCGGCCCCCCTGCCGCCGGCTGTAGCGCTTCGTTCACTTCTCGGATCCTCGCTGCATACATATAGGGGAGAGCAGCGGGGATCCAGAGAAGCCCCACGGCAGGAGGACAGGACATCGCGATCTACCAGAGATCGCTTGGCAATGGACTGGTAGATCGCGATCGGCCTAATGGGCACCCCTGCTCTAGGGCCTATTTAGACAGGAGCCAATTAACCTACCAGCATGACTTTGGAGTGTAGGAGGAAATTGCAAGTGCATGAAGAACATACAAACTCAATGCATTTAGTGTTCTGGCCAGGATTTTAAGCAAGAACCTCAGTGGGGCAAGTCCAAAATCCATACGCAACTGTGCTGCCCAGATTCCCTACATCTACATTAAACAATGGGTTTAGCTGTTACATATTGTTTGAAGATGGCTACAATACAAGGTGTAAGCTGGGGCTGCATTCTAAACATTAAGTCTCTGTTCTGGCAGCAGGAGAATTTCTGTCATTGTTGAGCTCCGACTCTCTTCATTTCTTAGCTCATCCAAAAATACGGCTCAATATTCACCATCTGGAAATTGACGGAGCCGGTGGTGGTCCTCTGCGGTTATGAGACGGTAAAGGACGCTCTGCTGAACCAGGCCGAGGAGTTCAGTGCCCGCCCAATTATATCCACGATGTACATCCCCTCCAAGGGATACGGTAAGACTGTCAGAGCGCTTCTCAGAACACATCCCGGTGCATTGTACATGATAGAAAATAGAAAAAGTGTGCCCAGTCCACAGCAGGCGTAGCTGGGAGCATTACAAACAAAGTAAAGAAGATTTCTATAAACAGAAAAAGAAATTATAGTACTTGTGAACCTGACTGAGTGACAGTATAATACTCCAAGGGAAAAAAATGCCTTTTGTATATACACCAATTAGCCATAACATTATGGCCACCCCCCTAATATTGGGTAGGTCCCCCTTTTCCTGACCTGTTGATGCATGGGCTCCACTAGACCTCTGAAGGTATGCTGTGGTATCTGGCACCAAAGTCGCCAATAGCAGATCCTTTAAAGGAGAACTATGAGGTGAGTGATTTTCACTCACCTCATAGTTCTAGCCGACCTGTGACAATGAGACTGTCACCGGTCGGCTCAGTAGATCGGGAGGTGAACGAACACATACGAGAGGTTCGCTAGTAGCGAACGCCGGTATGTGTTCGCTCACCTCCCGATCTACTGAGTAGTTGACCCTAATAGTATTTTGCTGCTGTTTTTGTAATTTCTTTTTTTTTTATTGTTTGAACTTTTTATATTTATTATTTCTTCATTTTAGTAATGCATTAAAAAAAATGCGCAAAATAGAGTAAAGCACCTTTACATTATTTGTGAATAACTTATTTCTGATAGAAATGTAACGCAAGCATCGTTATAAACAGGACAAATGATAGAATAAAATGTGTACATTTTATCTAGACTAATACTTAGGGGTCTGTTTATAAACTATTCACAGGGCCCTGCACCCAGCGAATATCTGTCAAGATTTGTTCTGTGTGGATAAATGCCGAAACGAATGTTCTTTAGTTGTTCCTTTACAAGTGGAATGCATTATCAGTTTTTTTTCATTTAAAGTGACATTAAACCCTCAGATTTGTTAACATAAACCAATACTGTAACGTGTGCCTTACTGTAATCCATGGTTGTTTCCCTTCTCTTTGCTGCTCTTCCTTTTAAATCCTCATGTCTTTTCATGCTGGGCAGAACTTCTATTTTGCAGCAGACTGCCTTGTCTCTGAAATGGATACATGGTGTCTGTGTATAGGTTTGCAACCTGAGCCAGCACTACAGGAAGAGGCACTCAGCCGCAAAGGGAAGTCCTCCCCAAGCATGAGAAGAGATACAGATTTAAAAGGAAGAGCAGCAAAGAGAAGGGGAACTATCATGGATTACAGTAAGGCACACATTACAGTATTGGTTTATGTAAAAAAATCTGAGTGTTTAATGTCACTTTAATGTAATACAGTATTATGGCCACTAGATGGAGCTGAGAAACATAGAAAAAAAAAACATTCCATTGTCTTCTTTCCCATCCCACAGTTCCTCAGAGGTGGCGCCATTGGGGCATTTGAATGTTTTCATTAATATCACATAATGGCCACTAAATGGAGCTAAGGGAACATACTATTCTCTATGTTCCTTTAGCTCCATCTAGTGGCCATTATGAGATATCACATTAACATTTTCAAAAATATATTCCATTTATGAAGATAAAACTAAACAGTTTTCTTTTTGGCATTTATTTCACAGATATCTGCAGGTAGAATGGATCTGAGTATTGTTTATAAATAGACCCCTAGTTGTCTAACCAGTAATAGTGAACATATTAGTTTTTTTATTTGGTTACATCTTTTCTCCCATCTATAGACTTTAGCACGGATAGAAATAGTAACTCTGCAACAACTCCTAACTGAAAGAAGAGGTAAGGGCCCCAAAATGGAATCAATGTGTGGCCAGCAAAGGCACACATTAAGTAGAAAGCTGCTTCCAAACAGATTCATCAGGAAGGTCGATGTTTATTGATCATAAGAACAGGGTAAAACAAACCTTCAACACATTTCGCGGCTCTCCATAAAATGAGATAATTTAAATAAGTGTCTGCTGATTATTCACTGCAGCTATGAACGGCCCCCGATGGCGTCCTCTGCGCCGCTTCACCATCTCCTCTCTGAGGAACTTCGGGATGGGGAAGAAGACCATGGAAAACCGCGTGCTGGAAGAGGCCAATTATCTCACTCAGGCAGCGGCCGAGACGGAAGGTGGGAGAAAATATTTATATTGATTACTTGTTTTCTTGAAAAATTGAAAGGGTTAAAGGCTTGCATGTTCAGAAAGGGTAAAGAGGGACCTGATTGTCTGAGATTTGAGGCTCCCTGGTTGGGAATGATGGTTGTGCTTCACTCAGCTCCAGCATGCGTCTATTGCATGCACATGTGCATATCCATATTGGCGGTTGGTTCCTGGATGAGCGATCAGGCTCCAGTCTATTGGGTAAACCAATGGTGGAAGAATAAGATCGGATTCACATGCATTGCCTGGCCAAAAAAAAGTCACCACCTGAATTTTGCTGAGCAAATAGGTAAGAGCTTTCCATTGGATAATCACTGCAGACATTAATACGTTTCTTCTGGCAACAAATGAGGTCACCTGCTTACCTGAATATACCGAATGACCAGGATTTTCCATTAATGGGTTTTTTCTTCCCTGATGACACATTGGGCATATTCCAAGATGACAATTCCGGGATTAATCGGACAGACTGGTTGAGGGAGCATGAGACATTATTTTCACACATGGATTGGCCACCACAGAATTCAGACCCTAACCCCATTGAGATTGGCCACCAGAATCCAGACCTTAACCCTATTGAGATTGGCCACCAGAGTCCAGACTTTAACCCCATTGAGATTGGCCACCAGAGTCCAGACCTTAACCCCATTGAGATTGGCCACCAGAGTCCAGACCATAACCCCATTGAGATTAGCCACCAGAGTCCAGACTTTAACCCCATTGAGATTGGCCACCAGAGTCCGGATCTTAACCCCATTGAGATTGACCACCAGAGTCCAGACCTTAACCCCATTGAGATTGACCACCAGAGTCCAGACCTTAACCCAGGGTCATCTTTAACACAGGGCAAAATGGGCAGCTGCCCAGGGCCCAGTCAGTGTTGTGGGGCCCAAAGCAGCTGCCCCTTGAGCAGATCCTGCGCTTCAAAACTCCTACCACTGGCCCTGCATCTCAGCACTGACAGCAGAGTGATGGATGATCGCAGAGCAGATGACACGGAGAGAAGAGCTGGGTGAATTCCCTCCCCCTTCAAGCTGTGTATATGTGTGTGCTGGAGGAGGCGGCGGCTCTGCTATGACCTGGACACTGTTCACTGGGCTTTGCACCTGGATGGGGGAGAGGGAGCCTGCTGGGTGAGGGGACTACACTTTAACCCCATTGCGATTGGCCACCAGACTCCAGACCTTTACCCCATTGAGATTGGCCACCAGACTCCAGACCTTTACCCCATTGAGATTGGCCACCAGAGTCCAGACCTTTACCCCATTGCGATTGGCCACCAGATTCCAGACCTTAACCCCATTGGGATTGGCCACCAGACTCCAGACCTTAACCCCATTGAGATTGGCCACCAGACTCCAGACCTTTACCCCATTGAGATTGGCCACCAGAGTCCATATCTTAACCCTATTGAGAATCTTTGGGATGTGCTGGAGAAGACTTTACACCATGCTCCGACTCTCCCATCATCACTACAAGATCTTGGTGAAAAATGCAAATCTGGATGGAAATAAATGTTGTGACATTGAATAAGCTTATCGAAACGATGCCATGGCAAATGCGTGAGGTAGCTAAAGGTGGTCCAAATAAATAGTAGAGTGTGTGACTTTTTGTTTGGCCAGACCTCTATTTTGCATTAACGTTCATGGTGGTAAGGCAGCCTATTTTGCCCAATTTTAATGTGCTGCCAATGCAACACAATGGACCTATTAAGTTGCATGCACCTTTTTTTTCCAGTCCACCATACCATACGGATGGATCACACCTGTGCTTTATAGTGCACTTTAACGCAGGTCCATTGTGGTCCCTTGGGGGGTGCCATTAATAATGAAGGCCAGTGCATTGCACTGCCCTGATGTTCACACATTACCCTGCATTGCTGTCACTGACTGGGGCTCATGGTTGGCTTTTTATTAAATAATGGTGGGGCATTCCTGAACAATAATACTGTTATGGTATATAGTGACACATCATGAATTTATTCATAGACTTGTAAAGTTACTGGCAAGTCCATATTTAGTGACATGGGCATCCTTGTAGTGATGAATTTGAGGTGCAGAGTTGTGAAAAGTAATTTCTACCTAAATACATCTATCTGATCATAAGGGTAACTGTAGCCATCACCTTAAAGGAGAATTATGAGGCGAGTGATTCTGAGCCGACCTGTGACAATGAAACTGTCACAGGTCGGCTCAGTAGACCGGTAAGTGAGAGAACACATACCGTCGCTCGCTCACTTCTCGATCTATCCGTGCAGAGAGCCGTGACTGTCACGCACGGCTCCCTGCAGGCTCCCCGATCCTCCAGCGCTGACTGGCGGAACAGACAGGGGAGGGGGCGGGTACAGCTGGCTCTGCCTCTAGATGGGCAGAGCCAGCTGTCAATCCCACAGCTGGGTGGATACAGAAAGAATTGTCGGGAGCTGCAGCTCGCGATATACTGAGCTTTGGGTGACGGGAGTTTGTGTCCTCACGTTACCCTTAGGAGAATTATGGGGAAAAGCCCTGACCCCATAGTTCTCCTTGAAGATAACTCATCTCTGATAAAAGCTTATTTCGGATGCATGCTGGGGTCTCATATCTTCTGGATGCCCATACATGACTACACAAAGATAAGTGGGGTATTTTGGGGGTTACCAATAAGCATTAGGTTTTCCTGAACTCTGGTGAAAACTGTAAGTTGTGTAGAAGACAGTGTTTGGTATGATTGACCAGCAAAACAATGACTGGATTGAATGACCCATTTGTTTTTTCTCCTTATATCAGGAAAACCGTTCAATCCAACGCTGATCCTGGCCAGCGCCGTAGGGAATATTATCAGTTCAGTGCTTTTTGGAGAACATTTTGACTACAAAGACCCGAAGTTACATGAGCTGATGTCTTCCACCTCCCGACACATTAGGAGTTTTGTGTCCCCATTGAACACGGTAGGTTATCTTCAGTGGTGGACTTGTCTTCCTTGTAAGGGGCAAATTGTACAGTGGCATTGTGAATGATGAATTAGGTCCAGGTACCAGCAGTGATGAGAGAACTGGTCTGGGTTTGGTTGACGGGAGGATCCCTGAACCCAGCCTGAAATCTAAAAATGTCTAACATAGTGCCTGAACCCCACTGAAGTCTATGGGAGGTGAATCTTGTCATCTTTATTAAGGCTTTTTAAGGTCAGTTTGCAAGCCTTTGGTAACAAAAAAGGACATGGGTAGGTGGGCACTGCCATGGGGGACATATACCAATGAAAAAAAATAGAAAGTACCATTTAGTGGGGAGCAGGTCTTTTAATGCAGCTTAAAAAGCAACATTAATTTAATTATTTAATTACAATTAAATAATTAATATTAATTTAATTATTTAATTACAATTAAATAAT